ATAAAATCTAACCTCATAGCCTGTCAGGATCCGTGTGTGTGTGTGTGTGTGTGCGCGCGCGCATGTGTGTGTGTGTGTGTGTAGAAAACACATTTGGTAGAAATGCTGGAGACTTTCTGGTGCACTTTAATTGTAGGACAAGTGGAGCAGTGTGGCATCTCTCCACTATCTGGTGCCGTTGGTCTAGTGTCATCACCAAAGCTTTTTTGTTGTTGTTTCTCCTCTCAGGTCCTGTTGGTGTGTAGCAACATTTAGATTCTCCAGCTGTGGGCGTTCATCATCCCCCACTGTATAGAAAGGGGCTGAGTTCATGTTCTAGAATGCAGCTATGTCGGGCATGCCACCGGCCAAAGGAACCGGGAGCCAGGGTCCCAAGCCCTCGGGGTCTGACCTGGGATGGGTAACATGGTGGTCACCCCTTAAATAGCCTCTGGACATAGGTATCCTCCATTTGCAGCACTGTTGAGATCTCTACCTCTCTATCTTAAAGGGTATCTTTCTGGAAAATTCTACCATGTTGGACAGATTTATTCCAATGGGGATCCTCTATCCCTTCCCCATTGAAAGCAAACCACTTCTGGGGTGCACAGTGCAGTCCCACCTCTCTAGCAGGCCTTATAGAAAGCTAGGCTAGTTCTTGTCTTTAAACCCCCCACCAGGAGAGGGTTTGAAGAATTGCTCGTATCATGGATACCAGAGAGGGGAATTTTAAGTAGGCAGAATGTAATCACCCAAATTGGAATTCAGCCAGGACACTGCCAGGGCAATTACTCCTCTTCGTGTGCTAAATGCCAGGGGAGTATAAATGACCCCACTTCTGCACCCCAGGCAAGCAGGGGGACCCTCGGGGGCCAGGAGCCCAGGGCCTAGCACAGACAAGCAGCCCCTCCCACGCCGCCTCCAGCTCAACCCCATCTCCAACCCATCCTGCACAGGGTTCACTAACACAACAGGTTTAAAGCTGAAGTCAGAAATGCATTCTGTGTGTGTGTGTGTGTGTGTGTGTGTGTGTGTGTGTGTGTGTGTGTGTGCCAGTACTAGGTTTTGAACTCAGGGTCTGGCCACTGTCTCTGAACTTTTGTGCTCCAGGCTAGTTAATACTCTACCACTTGAGCCACAGCTCCACTTCCAACCTATTGGTAGTTGATTGGAGATGAGAGTCTCACAGTTTCTCCTGCCTGGGCTGCCTTCAAACCCAATCCTCAGATCTCAGCCTTCTGAGCAGCTGGGATGACAGGCATGAGCCACTGGCTGTGTCACACCAGAAATGCATTCTTCAAATGACAGCCTGCATCCAGGCCTGCCCGTGCCCAGGCCCCAGGTTAAGAACTCCCCAGGTCAAGAGTTCCCTGGGTTTTGCATGGCATAGCCAGCCTCCCAAAGACTCCTGAAGGCTGCTTTTCCCTGACCCAAACCCTACCTCTCTTCCGGGCTACACTACACAGCACTGTCAGGCCCAGCCTCCCCTCCACCAAGTCCCCAACCCCCATCTCTGCTGGAAACACCTGGACTAGAATCCACCCAAGCTTTTACTCCTTTGTGCGTTTTTCTCTCTCTTTGGCAGCAAGGGCTTTTTGTTTTAGACTTTTCAGTATTGTAAGAAGGACCGTAGTGAACGCCTCTGGTATGTTTGTCTTTGCATACTTTGCTGCTATGTCCTTGAGACGATTTCCTAGCAATGGGACTGCCGTTCTAAGGGAGTGCACACTTCACAGAAGGCGAGGTCGTCCAGTGGCCTTCTGGACAGATCCACACACCACTGACTGGTTTTGACCTGACCTGACAGTACAGTTTTTCTTCTGGACATTAGCTTCAACCCTGAAGACCACATACATCAATTAAAGAAAAGATGCCCAAGCCAGGCACTGGTGGCTCACACCTGTAATCCTAGCTACTTAGGAGGCTGAGATCTGAGGATGATGGTTCAAAGACAGCAGGGGCAGACAAATCCAAGAAATTCTTACCTCCAATGAACTAGCAAAATATTGGGAAGTAGAGGTGTGTCTCCAGTGGTAGATCATTAGATCTGAGCGGAAAAAATCTAAGCAAGATTGTAAGGCCCTGAGTTCAAGCCCCAGTACTGGCACAACAGAAGGAAGGAAAGGGAAGAAGAGAAGGGAAGGAAGAAGGGAGGTAGGGAGGAAAGGCAAGAGAGAGGGAGGAAGAAAGGATGCTGAACTCTCAGAATGACTAGAGCACCTGTGATTCCAGTTAGGGCCAGTTGGGTAATCAGAATAATCTCCTCCGCTCAACATCTATGACTGAGTCCATCTGAGCATTGCCTCCAGTGTCACATGGCTGTGGCCAAGGGGAGAAAGGAGGGGCTGAGACATGGTTGCGGGGTGAAGACTTTGCCTTTTGTTCTCTCTACTTGTGTATTTGAACAATATACATTAATAAGACCATTGCATTTGTTTACTGAGATAAATAATCAGAATAGAAGAGTGCATAAGCTTGGGAATGGGATGGCACCAGTGTCGAGTGGCCGCGAGTCACTCACCACCTCCTCCCGGCTCCTTCCTCTGCTCATCCATCCAGCTGGGAAGTGGACACCAGAACTCCTCAAGGCCATCTCTGCCCACTGTCCCCAGGTCTTTGCAGTGTCATAAGCAAAGACTATTTCCTTCCATCCTCTGGCTGGTCATCGAAGGCCTCAGGAGCCCAACAAGTTGCTCTATTTGCAAAGCAAACAAGACCACACCAAACCAAACCATTGAAAAAGTCTCCCCTCCAATGACTGCCGCCTCCCTCCCCCCCAATCTCCATGGCCCCACGGGTCTCTTCTGCCAAGACCTCTGCTCACCCCACAGAGATGGCACCGTTGGCCCACATATGAAGAGATTTCACAAGACATTGAGAGGGATTTTTTTAGTGCCCTGCTCAGTAATAACCAGAGTGTTTATTAAACATGATATGCAGCAATGGCTAGAGAATCTCATGTGTATGTACGGCAGCAAGGCCAAGAAAACTGTGCGTCAAGGTTATGACCTTTGATTTCGCTGTGAATCCTAATCTTCTGACGGAGATGATCGGACTGAACTTTACTTACAATCAGCTTACAGCACCGAGAGCTGGATGGTGAGTGCCTTTCAAATTATCCAGCAAATTCTGCTGTCACCTTTGGCAAACAGTAGACCCACATGGGAAGCTTTCATTGTAATACAGGTCACTGTAAGGTAAGGTATTTCCCGAACACCCTCATGAGTGAAACAACCAAAGCAAGGGCTGTGGCCTCAACACCGCGGGAGCTCGGGAAGCGTGCGGTGGAGTAGTGGCTGGGGAATATGACATCAAGGGAAATCTCATTACAGAACAGATTCCATTTCTCTGTTTCTGTGTTAAAGAATTGGCCAAGAAGAGTGGATCTGTGTCTTGGGTACTCTGTGATTTCAATGGGGACCAATGGATAGTAGAGAGGGTGAGGCAAGATGGTGAGGGGTGGGTGGGTGTTCCATTCCCTGGCTGAGTGGGAAATCGGAACATAGAGAGAAACTGGATGCAGAGGTTGCAGGAAGCAGCAGAAATGCAAAGGCCATTTCGTGCATGTTGGGTCTAAGATGCCTCTGTGCATCCGTGCAAGGGTCCCCCAGGGGCCTGAACAACTCTCTGACACCACAAGTGATGGATGAATGCATCCATGAATCACTGTGGGTCTGAATGCTGCAGCTGGTGCTGCCAGTGGCCTTCCTCTGCCTCTCTGTCACCTGCCTTCCTGTTTGCAGGAATCAGCCCCACATGATCGCAGATCCACCACTCTGCCTGAGACCCAGCTCAGGAGAAGCTGGGACCTGGCAAGTCTGGGGAAATCCATCAAATTCTCAACACAACTATACTTCTCTATGACAGACAGATAATGATATATGTTTATTTGCACATTATATATGTGATATACAGCTATAGATATATAGTGATATACATACATAGCATCATATAATATATATTATATATAAATATATATAGCCCCAGTATGCAACCATCATTGTGATGATCTCGGTTTCTCTCCCCCTTCATTCACCTTCGAGTGTTTGTTTTCGGCACCTCCATTTCCTTACTCCTTTCTAGAAGTGAGAAGTCAGCCCTTCTCCCCCTCCACTCCCATGATTCCACCTGCCCATGTGTTAATAGGTGTGTGGGGCACAGGGTGTCCATCCATCTGAAAGAAGATTGAGGCTCAGAGCTAGCCTGGGCATCTCAACAAATAAGGTGGGTGTGATGGCACACATCAATAATCACAGCTACTTGGTAGGTGCAGGTAGGAAGACTGAGGTCCAAGCCAGACCCACAGAAGAAAAAAAGGAAGAGGAGGAGGAGGGAGTGTGGTAGGACAGCCTCTCAAGCTATACCCCAAAGACCTATGACCTCCTTCCTACTAGGTCCCCACCTATTAAAGGGTCCAGCACCTGCCATTAGCTCCCTGGACTGGGGATCAAGCTTTTAACACACAGGAGGTCCGTCTAGATCCAAGCCATATTCACGTCATCTAAGTCCAGTCTGTTTGGAAAGTTGGGCTGTTATGTCTCCTGATTTCTCCAAAGGTCACTTAACAACTTGGCTTTGGCTGACTGGCTGGCCTGATCTGAAGCGCAGGCCTCTGTGGGAACGCCCGTAGTGCCCGGCCCCGCCCTCAGAGTCAGAGCCACGCCCATAGTGCCCCGCCTGAGTCCAGGCGGCTTACTGAGAATAAGCAAGTCCACTCTGCAGTGAGAGGTCACCACCATTCTCTCTGCACTGCAGACAGAGGGCAGCACTGAGCTTCCCCAGGGCTCCTGACCAACCACACCACATAGCTCATAGCTTCGCCTGACTTTTGTAGGTCTAGAACTCACACACACACAATCACACACACAAAATACCTAGTGCAAAAGTACAAGGTAGAGTGAGGAGTCAGGGAGCAGTGCAGGACCAAACTCTTTGTATTACTATGATTAATTATTATCATTGCTAGTACTGGGGCTTGACCTCAAGACTTCACATTTGCTCAGCTGGCAAGTGCAGTTGGTGCCTGACCACTTGAGCCACACCTCCAGTGTGGGGTCTTGGGGAACTTTCTGCTCAGTCTGGCCTCAAATCTCAACCCTCCAGACCTCAGCCTCTCTGGTAGCTAAGATAATAGATGTGAGCCACAGTGCCTGACAGAGCAGGGTAATTCTGGACAGCAGCCTCTGCTCTTTCATGCAGCTGGAGAAGCTCTGAAGTATATGTGGCCCCATGTGGGTCTGCAGACAGAGACTCACAACCGGTCAGAGTCAGTGGCCTCCATCCCACACTAGACCCTGGACACCTGTGGGCAGGAAAGAGGGAGGCCTGGCCCCGCCCCACCCTAATGCTATTGCTACAGATGGTCTCTGCTCCAGCAGATGCTGCCTCCCGGGGTCCCAGGCCCACTGGCCACTCCACCCCCTGGGGTGCCCACTCTCCTCGTTCATGTATTATTTATTTAATTACCTTACTGTGGAAGTTGGTGTTTATAATTTGCCACTTCATGTAATGGCCCTCTAATGCGCACATCGCTAAATTATTTAAGCATGTCTTGCCACCACCTTTCAGGAGCCCCATCCCTTTAGCCTGCTAACTAGGTCAACTGCTTAAGTCCAGTCTGGGCACAGTCTTGCTCTACACAGCCTTGTGGCAGAAGGAGGGTCACCAAGAGTCGGGGTCTCAGGGCCCGAGGGCAGGGAACGTGGGAGACAGGTTGTGTAATGGTCTCCAAGGATGCTGCATCTGAATCCTGAGAATCTACGAACATGGCGCCTCCCAGGGCAAGTGAGACTTGGCAGGTGTGACTTGAAAGAGGTAGGGGAGGTCACCCTAGATTATCTGGGTGGACCCTACATATGACCCCAGGCATCTCTGAAGGTGAGAGTTGAGGGTTGAAGGTGAGAGGTTACAGGAACAGAGAGGCATTCGATGCCCGAGGTCTGAAGACGTCACACATCTGACACTGGAGATGAGGTGAAGGGCCACCTGCTAGGGGACCCAACTTCTGGAAGCTGGGAAGGGTTGGAAGCATTCTCCAGAAGCTTCTAGAAGGATCCATTCCTGTTGACCTTGGTCTTTCTGACTCCCAGAAGTGAGAGTAAGTGTTTAAAACCACCAGTTGTATCAACAAGAGAAAAGCAGATCACCATGCCGCATCTTTGACCCGCACTGCACTGGGTACCCTGCAACATGAGGTGGCAGGGGCTTGACCGGAGGCCTGCGATGACTGGTGAGCAAGGTCAACAGCCTCTCCCTTCGTGCAGGCTCTAGTCAGACTCCACGCCGTGGCCAGATGCAGCCGGCAGATAAACGAGAGAACCCAGATACGCTGCGTGAAGAGCCCCGGCTCCTCTCACCAGGTTCTGGCCAGTGGTGTGTGCACAGTGTGCACAGCATGTTGCCCAGGCCTGCCAGCCCTGGCAGTTCGACAGAACAATCCACAAAGCAGAGCTGGGGAGGTGGGGAGCCGTGAGTCAGCCCTAAGAGCAGGAAAGCCAGCAGCTCCCGGGCTCACAACTCCACATCAGGGAGAGCCAGGGTGCACCCAGCTGAAATGCACATCCTTGCCTCTTTCAGGGCGCTAATCCAATACATCCCAAAGGTCCTAAAATGGAGAAACAAAGGCCATGAGAGCTCTGGCTCCCTCGCTCCTTGTTTTGGGTGACAAGGGAGAAAGTATAAATGCAGACATGGTCTGCAAAGGACCGAGCTGGAGCCGCCCCTGTGTCTCCGTGCTGCAACCCCAGCGTAGGGCATGGGTAGTGGGGGCACAGTCTCCTGAGGTCTGAGTTTTCCAGTGACAGTTGTGTCCCTAAGGGCCAACCCCAGGGGGCACCTCAGGGCCTTGGAAGAAGGGTGGGTCCCAGCCTAGCATCCGAGTTTTGTGGTCCACAGGTGTTGTGTAGTGAAAGCAAAGCTCACCTTCCTTTTTATGTATTTGAATCATCTTTCAGAAGTGGTACACAGAGGATTGGATTATACATGACAGTTTGTGAGGACAGGGGGTCATGATCAGAGTCACCCCTTTCAGCCTTCTCCCCCGACTCTCACCACCAAAACCCCATCTTTAAATACCACCTACTCAGAGGCCACCAGTCTGGGCACCTTCATCTCTGCTACTCTGAAAATGGAACTTTGTCTTGGGCTGAAATCAACCAAGCCTACAGCACCCGCCCTCCTGTATGCGTGCACACACACACATACACACACTCACGCCCAAATAGACAGTTTTTCAGAAATGAGGATGCAGACGAGAGACTCAAGGACAGGCCTTGCTTGCCCTCTGTCAATTGACAGGAGAATTTATTCCACATATTCATCCATGAATATTGAGCAAGGCAACAATAACATCCAATGACACCCGGGAGGGTGCACGACTCCGACGCCCCTCCCAGAAACCTGCACCGTGCGGTGGTGTCACTGTTTTCAACCGGTCTGGAGTGTTTGAAATGCCAGCGTTTGCTTACAATTATCCTCCCTTCCCCTCCTTCTCTTTCTCTCTCTCTCTTTTTTTTAATGTGTACCCAGACATCCCTCCCATTTTCAATGCAAACCACCCCCAAACAAACCTTCTAAAATAACAGAATAAACTGAGCAAGGCCCGATTGGGGAGGGGGAGAGGGCAGTTACCACAGGTTTGAA